CGGGGGGGGGAGGTCTTCTGCTGCCTGGAAAGGGAACAGGAAGGCTAAAGAAAAACCATCTCAGGGTAAAGGACAAGTTATGAAAACTGACCTAAGATTACTAGGAGAAAGCAAATTGACCAGACCTGGGTAACCCTGACCCCTGAATCTCTGAGCTAACTGCAGTAAGCTCAAGAGAGAACAGACATGGCAGAGGGACTGAGTCTCCAAGCCCAAGAGGCGGTCAGGCAGGGGGACAGGGCCAAGCTGGGTGAGACTGAAGACTACCTTCCAGGGGAGATGGGAGAGAAAGGGCCACCAGGACCCTTCCAGTTGCTTTTGGTCCCCAGCCTGCCAGGGCCAGCCACCCTGGGGTGACCCCAAGGACACAGCAAAGCAGATCCCGCCCGCTGCAGGCACCATGCACAGCCAGTTCAGTCAGCTCAGCACAGGCAACAGCCCCCAGGGCAGGTCCAGAGCCCCATGAGGGAACCTCGCCTGGGGGACATGTGGGAACTGAATTGGGAGCGGGAGCCGCAGGTCCTATTCAGAAAGGGCCAGAGGGCCTCAGGACCTCTGACGTCCAGAGAACAGGTAGACACGTGGCACCTGGTGACTACACAAGGCCCCAGGACTTAAGCCAAGGGAGGGATTTGCTACCTTGAAGTCAGAAGTGAATTAGGTGATGTCTGACGGAGAAGGATGCCTCCAGACATGAGGAAACAGGTAGGTGTGGGCAGGGAAGGCAGAACAGGAACAAAAAAAACTCCAAAAACCAAAAAAACAATTAAGAGACACTGCACACACCCCTCCTCCCTCCTGGTGTTGTGATGTGGGCTGTGGGTAAGAGGAGGCAGAAGTAGTGTGCCACAGCTGGCCTCCACCCAGCACCAGCCTGCCTCTGACCCTGGAACTCACCAGGTGCTGCATGCGAACAGCCTCCAGAGGGTAGTCGCCTTTGGCTGTCTCTCCAGACAGCATGATGCAGTCAGCTCCGTCCAGGACGGCGTTGGCCACGTCACTGCCCTCGGCCCGGGTGGGGCGGGGCTTCTTGATCATGCTCTCCAGCATCTGGGAGAAGACAGAGCATTGGTGAGATGTAGCGTGGGGTGTTCAGAGACAAATGACAGCTGGGCTCGGTGGGTCAGCCTGTAATCCTGCACTCTGGGAGGCTGAGGTGAGTGGATTGCCTGAGCCCACGGATTCGAGACCTGCCTGCGCAACTTGGCAAGACCTCATCTCTACAATAAATTTAAAAAAAAAATTAGCTGGGTGTGGTAGCGCGGGCCTGTAGTTCTAGTTACTTGGAATGCTGAGGCAGAAGGATCACCGGAGCCCAGCAGGTCGAGAGCAGCCACTGCACTCCAGTCTGGGTGACAGAGTGAGACTCCAACTCAAAACAAACAAAAAAGAGACATATGACTGCAAACTAATGCTCGGATGTGCAGGTGTAGTGTGGCTTTGTGTAGGTGCATGGGGGAACGGTGTGGGTGTGTGTGTGTGTGTGTGTGTGTGTGTGTGTTACGTGGGACAGGGCCACAGGAATAGACCAGACAGTCACCAAAGCTCTCCACATGCACAGGAGAACATGGGGAGGGACACATGCCTGTGTGGCACAGATGACAGGCTTCCCAGCACGGTTGCACCGCCCGATCATCATTTTCTGAGCAAGGAAGACCTTCTCTGCAGGAATCTCAATGCCTAGATCACCACGGGCCACCATGATCCCATCGCTGGCCTCTAGGATTTCATCAAACCTAACAGAAAAAGTGGGGGAGAGGGAGGCAGAGAGAAACAGTGGAAACACAGAGGTTAGACAGAACAGGGGCTGCAAATACAGTGACAAACAGGGGGTTTGTGTGGGATTCTCTAACTCAGACGTCCTTGTGCCGGACAGCCATCCATGACATTGTGGAGAGGGCAGGGCATTCCAGCTACCTTAGCCCCCCAGAATGGGCCAGTAATTCTGCCTGCTGGGCCATTTCAATACCAAGAGGGGAAGAAAGCAGAGGTGACAAGGGCTCCCCCAGAGTCCCACAAGCTCCTCCTCTCCATGTGCACTTCACGGGCTCCATGCATCTCTCTCCACCTCTACTCTCCCACCACACTTCCAAGGAAGAAAGGGAGTCAAGGCCTGCTAAATACTTCTAGCACCAAGATCCCTGGACTCCCCTAAACGAGGATGCACAAGGACTGTCCCCCCAGATGGCTTTGCCGGGCCCAGGGACCGAGGTCAGCTAGCACCCATGGCTCATGAAGTGGCAAAGCGGAGGACCCAGGCCACCTGGCACAAAGGACATCTACACAGAACCAAGGACAGTAAGACCACAAAAGTAGGTGTACAGGATGCTCCCCTACCCTCCTGAGCATATCACTACCCACCCCCCACAAGTAGGTCTGAGGTTTTAGCACCGAGCTGTATTTCTAGGAAGTCAAAGAGGAACACGTGTTGCCACACCGGCCACATGCAATGGGCTCCACCCCATGAGCACTCGGAGACAGGGGAGCTGAAGGGGCAACCTGAACATGGAGAGCCACATGCGTCCCTCTGGATCCTGACAGAGTCAGCAGGCTCACTGAGCCAGCTGCTTTTCAAGTGGGGACCAGTCAGCTTGAGTTTCAGCATGGACCAGACCCTGTGCCTCTTCATGGCTCCCCAGAGGGCCAATAAGACCCCCTTCCTAAGAGACTGCTGGCTTCTTCCTCAGCAACCCCATTTCAGGTAGTGACAGGAGCAGAGGATAGTCCCTGATGCTGTGAGGAGCGACCCTGGTCTCTCCAATGCTGGTCCCAGGCCCAGGGAAAAATGTCAAGTTGTTGGCATGTCAATCACCAAGAAGACTTCTCTGTTTTTGGTTTTTAAAGACAAGTGCTTTTAATAAGTGTGGTTTAAAGCTGGGCTCGGTGGCTCAGCCTGTAATCCCGCACCTTTGGGAGGCTGAGGTGAGTGGATTGCCTGAGCCCGCAGGTTCGAGATCCACCTGGGCAACTTGGCGAGACCTCATCTCTACAATAAATCAAAAAATGAGCCAGGCGTGGTAGCGCGTGCCTATAGTTCCAGCTACTTGCGTGGCTGAGGCGGAAGGATCACCGGAGCCCAGCAGGTGGAGGCTGCGGTGGCTGGGAGCAGTCACTGCACTCCAGTCTGGGTGACAGAGTGAGACTCCAACTCAAAAAAACAAACAAACAAAATAAATAAGTGTGGTTTTAAAAAAAACTTTACAGGATGATACATGGCTTTATAAAACAAAGGTATTTCTAAGCAAAAAAAGTGTGCTTTAAAAAAACTTCACAGAATGATTCATGGCTTTTAAAAATAAAGGTATTTCTAAGCAAAAAAAAAAAAAAAGTGGTTTAAAGACAAGTGCGACTGGGCATGGTGGCTCATACTTGTAATCCCAGCACTTTGGGAAGCTGAGGTGAGAGAACTGCCCGAGTTCACGGGTTTGAGACCAGCCTGGCTCCTTGGCGAGACCTCGTCTTTACAGTCAATCAAAAAATTAGAGGGTAGGGGCAAGATTGGTAGTAGTAGGAAACTGCAGGGGGGAGAGCGGAGAGGGGGATGCCTCATCAACAAGGGTACCCACATAATGAACATTTGTATACCTAAACCTGAATTGTACCTCACATTTAAAAAAAATAGCTACTTGGAAGGCTGAGGCAGAAAGATCATCTGAGCTGAGCAGGTCGATGCTGGGGTGGCTGTGAGCATGCCACTGCACTCTAGCCTGGGCGACAGGGAGACTTCGACTCAAATAAATAAAGACAAGGGCCTCCTACTCTGCTGAGACACTGATTCCATGAGTCTGGAACAGGCTTGGGAGTCTGTACTCTGATGCGCGAGCACCCAGATTTGGGGGTCAGGCACTCATGGGACACACCCTGCCCTTCAGAAGGCTGGACCTGGGCTGGGGCGATGGGGACCCACCTCCGAACGCCCTCATGATTCTCGATTTTGCTGATGATCTTAATGTTTTTTCCTTTCTCTCCTAGGACCTTCCTGACCTCGTGGACATCAGACGCCTTGCGGATGAACGACGCAAACACCATGTCCACATCCTGCTCCACCCCAAACTTCAGGTCTTGAACGTCCTTCTCCGACACGGCAGGGAGGTCCACAGCAGCCCCGGGAAGGTTCACTCCCTTCTTGCTGCCCAAGGAGCCACCATTTTCTACCTCAGTCACCAGGAAGTCAGCACCTGTGTGGGAAGGAGTCAGTCAGGGAGGCCGAGCAGGAAGCACAGTCCTCAGCAAGAAGCAAGTGCCTCTCTCCCAGGTACTGTGAGCCGGAAGGATGCACCATGGGGTGCTGGAGCCATACCAGAGTTCAAATCCCAGCTCCACTAACTGCGTAACCCTGGGCAAGTCCACTAACCTCTTTGTGCCTCAGTTTCCTCACCTGAAAATAAGGATAATTAAGATTGCTTTAAGGCTGGGCACGGGGGTACATGCCTATAATCCAAGCACTCTGGAAGGGGAGGTAGGAGGATTGCTTGAGGCCAGGAGTTTGTGACCAGCCTGGGCAACATAGGGAGAACTTATCTCTACAAAAAAATTTAAAAAATAAGCAAGATGTAGTGGCACATGCCTGTAGTCCCAGCTACTCAGGAAGAGATGGGGAAAGGGAGGCAGGAGAATCGCCCGAGCCCAGGAGTTTGAAACTGTGATAAGCTGTGATTGTGCTACTGTACTCCAGCCCGGGCAGTAGAGTGAGACCTCCAACTTAAAAAAAAAAAAAGGAGTGTTTTAAAATTTAAAATTGGGCCGGGTTTGGTGGCTCAGCCTGTAATCCCAGCACTTTGGGAGGCCACGGTGAGTGGATTGCCTGAGCCCACGGGTTTGAGACCAGCCCAGGCAACTTGGTGAGACCTCATCTCTACAATAAAATCAAAATATTAGCCAGGCATGGTAGTGTGTGCCTGTAGTTACAGCTACTTGGAAGCCTGAGGTGGAAGGATCACCGGAGTCCAGCAGGTGGAAGCTGGGGTGGCCGCGAGCGTGCTACTGTACTCCAGCCTGGGTGACGCAGTGAGACTCCAGCCTGGGTGACGCAGTGAGACTCCAACTCAAAAAAAAAAAAAATTTTAAATTGAGCAGTTACAGTAGCTCACACCTGTAATCCCAGCACTTTGGGAGGCCAAGGCAGGAGGTCAAGAGTTCAAAATCAATCTTGGCAACACAGTAAGACATTGTACAGTAAGACATTGTCACTACAAAAATAAAATTTTAAAAAATTAAGGCCAGGTTCAGTGGCTCAGCCTGTAACCCCAGCACTCTGGGAGGCCAAGATGAGTGGACTGCCTGAGCCCGCAGGTTCGAGACCTGCCCGGGCAACTTGGCAAAACTTCATCTGTACAATAAATCAAAAACTAGCCAGGTGCGGTAGCACGCACCTGTAGTTCCAGCTACTTGGAAGGCTGAGGCAGAAGGATTGCCGGAACATGGCAGGTCGAGGCTGGGTGACAGAGTGAGACTCCAACTCAAAAAGAAAAAGAAAAAAATTAAAATAAATCATGTAAAATGTTTAGACTAGTGCTTGGCACTTGAAGCATCAGCTACCTGGCTGAGCACAGTGGCTCACGTTTAATCCCAGCAATTCCGGGGGCTGAGGCAAGAGGACTGCCTGAGCTAAGGGGTTCAAGACCAGTCTGAGCTACTTGGAAGGCTGAGGCAGAAGGATTGCTTGAGACCAGCAGGTTGAGGCTGCAGTGGCCATGAGCCTTCCTGTGCACTCCAGCCTGGGCGACGGAGTAAGACTCTGACTCAAAAAAAAAAAAAAAAAAAAAAAATAAAAAAAAAATATATATATATATTAGCTATCATCCCAGGCACATGGCAGTCCAGAAGCAAGCAGGAGTTAGGATGGAAACAAATCTATATTTTCCAGAGTCAGAAGAGCATGATCAGGTTGTCCTAATGACCCTTTCTGAGGATAAATGAGTTATAAAAGGAATTCCTGAGAACACACAGACTCATCCTTGCCACCAGCCAACCAAGTTTCCCATCTTCCTGATGTCAAGAAGTACCCGAGATGGGAGAAGGTTCTCGCCCGTCAGGCCCAACTCCCGCATGTACCTTTCTCCTTTACCAGCAGGGAGATGAGCCCGTCGTCCACGTAGATCTTACTGCCCACCTCCACCACCCTGCAGATGTTCTTGTAGTCCAGCCACAGGATGTTCTCGTCACACTTCTCCATGTAGGCGTTGTCCAGTGTGATCTTGAGCGTGGCACCCTTCTTCAGCTCCACCTCCGCAGTGCCGCTCTAGGGATCAGACGAAGCATCCACACCCAAGAAGTCAGTGTTCCCACCATCCCCACAGGGATGAAAAACCCTCCCCACCAAGGAGCCATGCTCAGGTCACAGCTACAACTCAGTAAGCATCTGCCTCAGGAATAAATACTCTTATTCTCTAACTTAGTATACTTTAAGGAAATGCCCAAGAGAAACTACAATGTTTCAGGAATGCTATTTCATAATGGGGGAAAAGATACAGAGAAATGACTCCCTAAAGTTAGACAGAGTTGGAAATTTTTTTTTTTTTTTTGAGTCGGGACCTCACTCCGTCACCCAGGCTGCAGTGCAATGTGCATGATCAAGGCTCACTGCAATCTCAACCTCCTGGGCTGAGGCAGTCCTTCAGTCTCAGCCTCCCAAGTAGAGGAGACTACAGGTGCATACTACCATGCCTGGCTAGTCTTTTTGTAGAGATGAGGTCCCGCTATGTTGCCCAGGCTAGTCTCGAACTCCTGTGCTCAAGTCATCCTCTTGCCTTGGCCACCCAAAGTGCTGGAATTACAAGTGTGAGCCACCATGCCTGGCTGGAGGGTTTTAGAGTAATAAAAGGTCACTTTGTGGTATATCTCCCAGCAAAGTAGATCAATCAACATTTTTTTTTACAGTGATGAATAATCCTCACTAGTTGACCTCAACTCTGAAACATGGCATCGGGCAAGGCAGGCTCCGTCTCAGGACATGCTGCCTCCTGGGGTTCCCCCAGCTTCTCCCCAGGATACTCACGCCCTTGATGAGCCCAGTTCGGATCTCGGGTCCCTTTGTGTCAAGAGCCACAGCAACCGGCCGGTAGAGAATGGGGTCGGAAGCAAAGCTTTCCGTGGCTGCACGCACATTCTTGATGGTCTCTGCATGGTACTAAGAGAAAGGAAGAAAGGTGACCCATGTCCTCCCATAGCAAGCTCCAGCTCCTATTTCCCTGCCCGGAGCCGAAGTTGACCGCACAGGACAGGGCTTTGGGTAATGCTCCAGACCTTAATCACTGTCCTCCGACCTCATGCCATCCTCGCACCACTTGATCCCACCTCTTCAGCTTCCACCCACTTCTGCCACAGCACTAACCACACTAGAGGCAAATCATAGGAACGTTCGGTGGATTATTGCCACTAAAACCCATCAAAGGCATGTGTGTAAACATGACTCATCATAAAAAAGGCTGTGTCCCTTCTGCTGTTTTCTTTTTCCCTAGGACTCATCAGACACCCTCAGCAAATAAAGGAGATACCTGGGGCAGAAAAACCTAGGACCTGTGTTTGGACAAGGCTGGCTGAGCCATCAGTGTCAGACTCTGATAGACGTGGTCATTCTGTGCTTTCCCTCTATTGATTCCAACTACAATTCAAACTCCACGTTATTGACTTAAGTGAACAGTGGCCCAAGCTAAACAACCTATCGTGAAGGTCGTGTGGACTTGGTCTTCTCAGTCCTGAGTCTGAACAGTCAGTGGAAGTGGGCCAGGGCGAGGCAGCCACAACACCCTTCTCAGAAGAACTCCCCTTCACTGTTCCTCACTTGCAACTGGCTTCAACCTTCTCTCTCAAGCCCTTTCTCTGCTCTGTTTGCCTTCACTGTTTGTTTAAGAAGAGACTGACAGTCAAGATAGTAGGTCCAAACAGCTCTTAGCAAGTGTAATCAATATGACATTGCTGATAACGGGGCAGCTCATTCAGCACTTTACAGGCCTTGTCCTTTAACCTCCACTGTCCAGGAAGGCAGTGCTCCAGGTAGGTCTGTTGCTCACAGGAGGCTGAAGGCAGCTGGAGCCAGCACTGAACCTCCAGCACAGCACTGCCCGCAGCTTGAGTCTGATAATCTTCAGCTTCTAATTCAGGTATATTCTATATAATGGAGGCATATTCCATAATGAAAAACCAATGGCTTCCGTTTTTTAAATAGAGGTCCTTATTACAAATTACAAAATTTCTTTTCTATTGCTGGCTTGACACACAAATAAAACAAAAACAACATAGAACAGATTAAGAATATAAATTTTTTAAAGGGATGGGTGGTGTAGAACACAGTCAAATGCCTTTTAACTTGGAGTGGACATGAGGAGTAAGAGAATCACCAAATACTCAGAACACGGTCAAGCACATAGTAATTTTTTTTTTTTTTTTTTTTGAGTTGGAGTCTCACTCTGTCACCCAGACTGGAGTGCAGTGGCCGCTCCCGGCCACCATAGCCTCTACCTGCTGGGCTCCGGCGATCCTTCTACCTCAGCCTTCCAAGTAGCCGGAATTACAGGCGCGCGCTACCACGCCCGGCTAATTTTTTTTTTAATTTATTGTAGAGATGAGGTCTTACTGCCCAGGCGGATCTCGAATCCGCGGGCTCAGGCAATCCACTCACCTCAGCCTCCCAAGTTAATTTTTTTTTTTTGAGTTGGAGTCTCACTCTGTCACCGATCCTTCCACCTCAGCCTTCCAAGTAGCTGGAACTACAGGCAAGCAATACCACACCTGGCTAATTTTTTTTGATTTATTGTAGAGAAGAGGTCTCGTCGAGTTGCCTGGGTTGGTCTCAAACCCACGGGCTCAAGCAATCCACTTGCCTTGGCCTCCCAAAGCGCTAGAATTACAGGCTGAGCCACCAAGCCTGGCCCACATGGTAATTTTTAGTAAAAGTTACCTATTATACCATCTTATACTACATTGACTGTTTATGGAACTCTGTGTCCCTAGAATAGGATTCCTGTGCTGGATCTGGAATATTAATTCTTAACTATGATTTCTGCATCTTTCTAAGTGAGACTGGTCTAGTGCACTAATCTTTAGCACTAATCTGTTTGGTTTTACTACCGTCCTCGTCTGATCATAAAATCAAGGTATGTTGGTCTCAAATAACACAGTGGGAAGATTTCCATACTTCTAGAACACAAGAAAGAATTCAACCAAATGTTGAAGGGGAGATGGGATCAGCCATTAAAATAATTTGGACTTGAGTGATGTGGGAGGGGCTACTCTTGGGAGGTCTCATTTCAGCTCATTTTGTCCTGCCCACCATCCCACCTCCTCTTGCATCTAACACGAGGTCCCAGAGAGGCCCTAGGAATGTGCTGGGGTGACCATCAAGTGTTCTAAGATGAGACAGATACCACAGTCACTTTTTCAACATCTTAGGATTATAGGTCTTACCTCAGCGTCTATCTCTTAGATTTTTTACCTTGCCTTAGAAAACAGTCTAAACAAGGGTACCAGCATAATCAATGTCTGTATACCTAACCCTGAATTGTACCCCACATATTTATAATTAAAACAAAAAAAAAGAAAGAAAACAGTCTATTTCATCTGTATTTACAGGACTGTTATAGATCTTTCTTGACTTTTGAAATCCCTTCTCATGGAAAGAAAATATTCCCTTTTCTATTCATGCCCGTATTCTTTTTTCCCCAGTTCATGAGTCATTTAATAAATGTATTTAATGTTAAGCAAGCAAACACATAGATACCTACTTTGAAAATCTTGAGTAAGTATTATACTCAAAGAACAGAGTACCATATATTCTCACTCACAAGTGAATCTTAAACAATTATCATAATACTATAAGGGATTGGCAGTAGCAAGAAACTGTCAGGGGAGGGGGGGTGGGATTGGCAGTTGAGGGTAACTGCCAGGGGAGGGAGAGGCACACCTCATAAATAAGGGTACCTGCATAATGAACACATATATACCTAACCTGAATTGTACCCCACATCTTTAAAAAATATATTTAAAAAAAAAAGAAAATCTGAATAATGCAGAATTGTGTAGCATAAAAGACAAACTCTCAAGTCATCTCTGTTCTCTAGTTCCAGATCTCACTTCTAGGACAATTTCTTTCTTTTTATTTATATTTTATTTCAAGACATGTGGTATAATTCAGGACTAGGTAATACAAGTAGATATCATATAGGTAAAGTTTGGGCCTCCCATTGGTCCCCACTTTGCCTGGCTTGAGATCAGGTACCCCATGCTTGTATTCCTGACCAAACCTTCCAGGTTTCATGACTTTCCCCACAAAGAAACAGCTCTTCATTTAGCCAGACATGGTGGCTCACGTCTGTAATCCCAGCACCTTGGTAGGCGGAGGTGAGAGGACTGCCTGAGCCTAGGGGTTCGAGACTAGTCTGGGCAACTTGGCAAGACCTTGTCTCTACAATTAAAAAAAAAAAATTAGCCAGGCATGGGCATGTGCCTGTAGTTGTAGCTACTTGGAAGGCTAAAGCAGAAGGATCACCTAAGCCCAGCAGGTCAAGGCTGTGTTGGCCGTGAACATGCCACTGTACTCCAGCCTGGGCAACAGAGTGAGACTCCAACTCAAAAAACAAAACAAAGTTGTTCACTTAATTTGTCAAATTTATTTTCTCTTAAGCTATGCTTTTACAAAATCAATTCCTTTTCTTCACCTTTTTTTTTAAAGACAGGGTCTTGCTGAGTTGACCAGGCTGGTTTCAAATTCCTGGGCTGAAGGGATCCTTCTGCCTCAGCCTCCCAAGTAGCCGGGACTACAGGCATGTGCCATCACACCAGGCTCTATTTTGTATTCCTTGTATTCTTAAATATTTATTTCATTTTCCTTGAGATTTTTGCTTTCTAGAATAAGTACATTTAAGTCTCTTAAGTTTTCTTGATTACGAACTACACTTTGGACTTTGTTCTTAAGTTCCATTACAAAATTGTCAGAATGTGTTCGTGTAATTTGTACTTTATGGAACTTGAGGTTTTTTTGTTTTGTTTTGTTTTTTTGAGTTGGAGTCTCACTCGGTCGCCCAGACTGGAGTGCAGTGACTGCTCCCGGCCACCGCAGCCTTGCCTGCTGGGCTCTGGCGATCTTTTCGCCTCAGCCTTCCGAGTAGCCGGAATTACAGGCATGCGCTACCACGCCTGGCTGATTTTTTGATTTATTGTAGAGATGAGGTCTCGCTGCCCAGGCGGGTCCCGAACAATCCACTCACCTCAGCCTCCCAAAGGCGCGGGATTACAGGCTGAGCCACCGAGCCCGGCAAGGTTTTTTTTTTTGGTAGGCTAACATATTTCTGTAGAAATGAGCGTTTTAAATACATTTGCATTATCGATCGTGGAAATGTAAAAGCATACATTATAAACATACCAATTTGATTATTAGGTATTATATTATTCAAATCTTCTATATAATATATTGTCTTTCACAGTAGCTGTGGTTTTCTTGGCTTGTTATCAAGTACTAAAGAGTTCTGTCCATCAATGCTGTCCTTATGGAAGGCTCTAAATTTAGGTTTAAAAGTCAGTATTTCTGGCCAACATGGCATTATGGAACAAGAACAAATCTTGACAAAAGTGGAGGCTAAAGTCTCATTGCCAAAGCTGTCAAAACATCAGACGCAGACAGTAGACGTCCCTCTGTCAGAGTGAGAGAAGGGAATCTCAATGTTCTGCTCAGAAGAGTATTTAAAATCATCAAGAACTGGAAAAGTGAGGCTCTAGTCAAAGTTGCATATGAAACAAGAGCTCTGACATACAGGCCTGTTTACATTACAATATTAGAATAACTTCAGATCAGTGACAACCCTATCTCAGGCTAAAACCTCAAAATAAATCCACAAGAGGGACATTTTTTAAAAATCCCAATTCTAATCTGGGAATAAGAGTTAAAGCACAGATAATCTCCCAAATGCTTCTTGTAGTTTAAAAAGTCAAACTGCACGCCAGCCCCCACCCAGCAGGTGCAGCATATACCACTCACCCTAGCCGTGTCGGGGCTGCTGCCTGGTATTATTTTACGGGATGGAAGGAACCACAAAGCCTAGTTAAAGGTCAGCTTCTTAAAAATCTATTTCTGCTCCTTCCCCTGCACACAGCAGACTCCAGCAGCAGGAATCAATAGTGAAGTGATCTGACTGCTGTCTTTAACTCTCTCGTTCAGCTAAGCTGACACTTGCGGTAATTCTTGGTGACCCTAGCTTTGGAAAACTATAAAATTTTCCAAAAATTACAGGGACATGTCTCGACCTGCCTGAGGGTGCCTGCTGGACTCGGTCAGACCCTCATGACATTTCGTGGCTGCTGACAGCCGGGCCATAGACTGTTTATGAACACAGGAATCTATGATGAAGAGTCTCATGTTTCCAGAAAGGAGGAATCCACCTCTTAGACTGCACTCCCTGAGCCTTTATTTTTAGCCCAAACTTAATACCAACCTTCAAATGCCAGAGGGCAACCCCTCACCACTTGACCTTAGAGGGTAGGGCTTTCTTTCCCCCGAATAGGAAGCACAGGTCCAGAGAGGGCAAAGTTGGCCCCTTCCGTGACTCCTCCATCAGTGCCAGTGTGAAATCCCATGGTCTACAGGAAACCTATGATCAAGCCCGACAGTCCCTCAGAGTGCCCCACTCCAGAAGGGGTTTGTTCTAAACCAGGGAACAGAGGCAGGAATGGAGCCACCACTTGGTCCACAGGTCAAGCCAGCTAATAGAATCCCAGGGTAAATATACTCCTACCAGGCTCCCGAGGAGCAGTTCTGACTTTATTTGAATGTACCAGACCCCTGCAAGGGAATTACATGCCAGATAAAGTCCATACATTAGGTTTGGTCCTTAACTTGCAATGGTGGGCACTCCTGTCCTGGACCTGCCCAGTAGTCTTGGGTCTAAACTTGGCTTTCAGTTCACCAAGGCAACATGAGTTGCTACAGGAGTGTCAAGTACTGTGCCCAGGACACTGAAGGCACAAAGGGGCTTCTAGTCAAACCTTCCACACCTTCCTTGTGACAGCCAATGGCACAGGTATGTGGGAGAATCAGGGCCAGTGACAAAGGAGTTATTCTTCGCTTTGCTTAAGGAGCCTTGGCTGCTTGAGGTGTCAGGAGAAGAGGGAAGGAGGGTGGGGACAGACTAGGAGAGACAAACTTCCACTGACTAAACCCAGACTCATACCTGCCTGGTGCACTGTGGCTAGACAAACACACTACCCTCCCTGTTTCCTACAGGCCCTCCTGGCGGCCACACTGTCTAGTCAAGGCTCACCTCGTGAGTTCCATGGGAGAAGTTCAGACGAGCCACATTCATTCCAGACTTAATCATCTCCTTCAACATGTCCACTGATCGGGAAGCTGGGCCTATTAGAAAAAGGTTCAAAGCCACGCTGGTAATTATTCAAAGTAGGAAAAACATTGTATGTTTGTTTAAGTTTAAAGAATTCTTTTTTTTTTTTTTTTTGAGTTGGACTC